TATATATATATATGCTTTTGTAGAGTTATTAGTACTTTCTTGTGGATTCACTAACATCGTCCCTTCTTTCACTCCATTTGGCATCCACTCTTCACTAACGCAGGTAGCAAAGGCTGCTCCTTTATCTTCAGACATTTGAATATTGCGATTGTTGCGTTTCCTTGTCACAAACTTCTTCCTCTCATTTTAGTTACATTAGTAAATCTACTCTGTTTACGCAGAATGCAGAACTCCGTCGACAGTTGAGCAACTTACAAGGAGAATTAGATAGCATCAGGACACGTTGCGAGTCTGCTTTGGAGCTCGAGGCGGGCGCAAAGTCGGTCATTGAAGCGCACGAACGAGCTGCGCAGGAGGCTCGTTTGAAGTACGAGCGAGAATTATCGTTACATGCGGAAGATGTTGAAGTACGTTGGTTGAAGATCATTAAACATGCTGATCTTTACTCGCGTTACAGTATTGCAGGTTTTTTCGATGTGCATATTATGCGCTTTATTCCAACATATGACCAACTGATTTACAATCCCAGTTGCACCGCTTAATCTTCAGTGGAGTTTATTGACTAGACTCTGCTATCGTTCTGATCATGAAGTTCTCAGATTTCCTTTCTGAAGCGGTCTGGTTCAATAGGTCGGTAAATGGTAGTGGCGTATGTCATATGTGTGCATCTCATTTTACGAATACGTCAGTAGGGACTCGACAAGGTCGTTCGTAAAAACTGTACACTCCGATCGCCCAAAGGTTGACTGTCGTTGCGGTATCATTGGCCTTGCGGTTGAAGTAATTTTTTAGGCCAAAGAATATAATGCTGCCCAGAGGGCAGTTGCCGTGTGCAGTCTTCATAGGAGGCATCTAGTTATGTCCTAATCATTGTACCTTCAGACACAACAAGCCTCCCACAACAGGACGGACCAGAACATTGAGTCAGTGTTTTCGGGCATAGTCCTCAAGGAAATCCTAACACTTTTTGCCTTGTGTGTCAGACGGACAGGTCTCTGGAACAAAAACCTATCTTTTCCCGTTGTTTTGTAGAGTAGAATTCTGAGTTAAAGGCTTAAGGTGTGGTACCTCTATCAACCAAGCTTCCTCAGCTTAGGCAACCGGGAAGCAACACCTGCTCACACCAATTAGGTACAGTTACCAGGCTCTTTAGTTTTTTTAGCTCCGACTCTAATTCACACACGTGCCACTATGACTCCATTGGGTGTTAGCTCATTACTTCCTGGCCCTGTATCCTGAAAATGAAATTGCGGTTCTACCATCTGGCAACCTGTTTGCCGTAGCAGCGCTGACTGTCCGTCCTCTTTGTCAGGTAGGCCGAAGACTTCCTTTGCGCGTGTCCTTTTTAAGAATCAATGTATGGTAGGTCTTCGATGCATTAATACAAGACCGTACCAGGGTGATACATTTGAACGCAGTCCAGGGCAGCTCAGCATACTCATGGTTTACTCTTCGGGTGGCGAGTAATCCAGGATTGGCTCCCTGTGTTCTCGATGAGGGTGTTGCGTCGAGTGATGGAGCAGAATGTGCTCTACCCGACCGGATTCTTGTGAGCGGTCAAACCGAAAGGATCTCTCAGGATCCGGGGCCAACAACGTCAGGCCGTAAATCTCTCCATTATCTCCGAATAGACTGTGACTCACTCAAAGGCACTTTTATGGAGGATTTTCGAGACTCACATGGATGTAACGTGTATAAATGTCAGTGTTCCCTCTAGCAAATCGATCTCTGGTGACCCATCTAACAAAGCTCATTGCTGCGACATGGAGTGAAGGGAAAGTGCCTGTAGAGTGAAGCATATTGAGGACGCTGCGTGAAAATCACCGTGTCATAAGCCTCGTTGCTATGATGTCGAACGTGCTCTCTAGTATTATCCTTTGAATACACGGACAGACAGATCCGTGAAAACTAAGTCGGGTTCCGTCCAGCAGGAGCATGCATCGATCATATTCTCATCCTCCGATAGATTGTGGAACAGCAACACTGCTTCCAACGAGCAACAGCTGTCTTCCTCAGCTTAAAGGCTGTCTTTGACAGTGTGGACCGTCAGGCACTATGGCAATGTCTGTGGAGCCAAGGTGTCCCCGAAAATTCTTGACTTTCCGTGAGTCGCTGTACGCCAACTTCCATCGTCATCATAATCGTTATCAGCTGTAAGAACCGCGTACTTGTCATACGGTGCTTATAGCCGCCACAGTTGCGTCCACCGATGGTTTCGGGCTGGGGCGGGGGGCAAGGTATCTGCACTTAGCAGACGGGAGTTGAGAAATTGGTGCGTAAATATAGGACTTTTATGTGGGAGATTTTTATGCAGGAAGACGCCAACTCCCGCGGCCGCATGAAGACCTACAGAATGCTGTCGCCTGATCTCACCACATCATTTGGTATCAGGCAAGGCTGTCCTTTTTGACATTTCCTATTCAACTTCGTAATGAATGCGATTATGGGGAGTTCACCAGAAGCCTCCTTTGCCTGTGGGATCGATATGCTCCCGGGACATTCACTCACCGTTATCGAGTACGTGTATGCCGTAGTAATGCGAACGTTATTAAATAATGTGAATAATTCTGTTTCACGGTTTGACATGCGCTTCACAAATGCAAAGTGTAAAGTGCTGCTGCAAGACCGGGTGGGCTCGAACCATAACCGCATGCTTGTGGATAAGCCGGTTGAAGTAGAAGACAAATTAGTCTGCCTGGACTGCCGAGTGGTTTCTGCCCAGTAGTTTCGCGAAAGGTGATATTCCCATCTGAATGGGAAGGCTAGAGCAGCTTTCGTGAACCTGCATCACCAGGGGCGTGCTCATGACGTCAGCTTGCAATGCCGCGGTGCGTTACATGTTATTATACGCTTCGCGTTGAGGAGGTCAAAAGATTTTCGGCCTTTGACCATCGACGTCTTTGGAGCATTGCCCGAGTCTAGTCAGCATCTCTTCTTATCTACTCACGAGTGTCATCCTGTACACTCTTACGGACAGTCACGATAGACCGAATTTCTAGAAATTAAGCATGCTTTCGTCCGGTTTCACTAACCAGCTCAATAACTTACGATACTTCTCGAAAACCGTCGCACACAAAATAAGGACAGAAACTTTTATTTTTTTATATAGAAGTAGAACTCGGCTCACTCGATTGCGGTACCTTTTTACGGTGTTCTTCGCTTCAGAAATGTGCCAAACATTTTCGCAAAACTCCTCCAGTCCTTATACTCCATGGGCGTGTAAAAGTAGTGTCAGGGTTATCCTGTCACCTTTCCAATGCTTATCGGGCAAAAGTTCGTTATGTCCATGGAGCTTTTTCTAGAGACAGGCCACAAATTACACTAACTAACCGAGCGAATTTTGCCGTGCGATCCGGTGTGCGTTTCGTATATCCAAAATACAGTGTTATCACAAGAATAAGCTAGTTCACCACCAAAACTGGTTTTGTTATCTGAAGTAGTAGGCAGGTTAATCTCTCTGGATAGTTGCACCACGTCAGATGACGTGGTGCTCTGCTGACCCAATAAACGCTAGAGCACCAGAATCTTATCTACCTTCCTTCTAGTTGGACACCTCTGGGGTCTACTTAACATAAGCATGTAGGCGGAAGGCAGGGTTTACAACGCGGCAGTGCATCCTGTTTTTTTTTTATGGTCATGAAGCCTGAAAACTGTACACGGAACATAGGAGATTGTTTATCTTTGACTATCGGTGCGCTCGAGGAAGTCCATGTCCAGTATGGGAGTATCGGATTAGCAATACTGAAGTGTGACTGGTGGCTTCCGGTGACAAGTCAATTGCTTGTTCAACTGCACTGATCCGGCCATGTACTCAGTATACCAGGTGATCGGTCACTTCACCGTACCCTGTTTGTGACTGGAAGATACCAGAAGGTGGACAACGTATGACCTGGAAACGGAGGGTAACAAAGAGTCTTGGCTGCACTGATGCATGTCGTGTGCCGTGTGAGTTCCCCATCACATTAATGGTTGGAAATATTCGCCGGCAGAGCAATGTCTTTTTCTGTTGGCGCCCAGAGTGCCCAGCTGGTCTTTGCCTGTCGTTATGTGTCAGGCTGTCGGATGAGGTTCGCAAAATGTGCTTGGTTGACCCCAGTGATGGTTCTCCAATTCAGCTTGATGCTCATTTCAGTGTTGTCCAAGGGTATGGGCACATTACTCGTGACCATCGTCTCTATGTAAACCAAGCACCCTTTTATTCCCACTGTTTACTAAGGCTTTCTCTCATAGTTGTACTACTGATGTTTTGCAGTCAATGATGATAATGGGGTTTTTCTCTGCACTCTACTATATGTCGCGGCTAACCGAAGTACCGTGCCTACACACGGTTCACGACTGTCAGGGCAAAGTAAATAGATGTCGTTATCGTTGCAGGCACTAACAGCAGCCCGTCAGGAGGTAGACAACTGGAAATCAAAATTGGCAGATGTACAACGGCAGCTCACCACTTCGGAGTCACGTGCTGATACTGTTGCCAAGGAGCTGGACGAAATGAGTCGATCTTGGGATACTGAACGTCAAGAATTGAATGAGAAGTTGAACCTAGCAGATAAGGATCAAAGTTTAATGCAGGATCAGATCATCAAAGTAAGTATCCTTTTCCTTAGTCCTCGATTCATGTTCGCCTTTTTAAACTTTGCTTGGGTGGCGGAAAGCCTCATTTATTTAAGTTCTTATGAGTAAATGTTTCCATCCGAAACAAAAGCAGCGTATTTATTAGCCCAAGCTTATAGGAGTCCAGTTTGGGTTACCGGGCTGTCCGTTTGTTTGGGTGCAGTGTATTATGTCATGTCATTTTTACTGCATTCTATTCGGTTTAATCCCATTATATGTACTTCATGTATACACGTGAATATGATCCATCTAACACTGTACATTCCGGATTGTTAAAATTATGACACTGTTAGGGTTGATCTTATGTGTATACCGTTGGAAAAACCATGCAGAATAATGAATATTACAGGTTGGTTACATGTTTATCTGGGTTGCCTTTTATGTGTGGTACGGGCCGCCAGACCACACTGCATACATTCTCAGCTATTTACTTGTCTCAAATTGAAACACCTGGAGCGCCAGTTGGGTACGCTGATGGCTGTCGGGATTCCGCGTCCTTTTCACCCTCGGTACGAGACGTTCACTTGGGTACAGATGCTGCTCGCCGCAAACCGAGCGTGGCATTGGCAGTGTATAGAACTCTTGGCATCTTAGTTTCGTTAATTGGTTGTTGATCAGATGGATGTTGATCCACAACCAACGAACATAGCACCACTTATTGTGCGCGGATGTCCATCGGAGTAGCTTGATGCGGCAGGCCGATTCGGAAACAGATTCCGGCCCCTCATATTCGCTTGCACCAGGATTCTTATCCCATAACAACCTTCACATACCATTGTGACGCACGGACAGTACGGATATGTACGTATGACGAGTATTTTTGGGACGATCTATTTTTGATCGAAGCCATTCAGTGGATCGTAATAATAGTAAATAAATCATTCAGCTTAGGACCCTTTTGACGCCCAGTCTGCCATCGGAAAGAGACACGAGGATTGGGATACTACCAGGTCTACCAAGCGTGGACAGAAGCAGCCAAGATGCTGAGCTTGGGTTTGAAACACGGACCTTCCGATCCGTAAGCCGGCGCCTTGACCACTGAGCTATTTCGAGCTCAAAACGTAATAATGATGGCCTTCTGATTCTCACTTATTCCAGCTGGCCTGATAGACAGCATCCATACGTTAAAACTGGACGCTCTGGTTTCAATCTTCCATTGTTACCTTCCCCTTGTCTGCTGTGATCCATACATCGTATATGGAGAGTGCCATGTGTTTCAGCACCAACTCTGGAAGACGTACTCCAATGCTCCCCGTTTTTACGTAGCTCAAAGGGTAACGGATTGTTAGTTAATCTTTAATAGCATTTTGTTTTATGGACTCATGCCAGTAGCATTTATTTATCGGCATTCTTTGCGACAAAAGCCAGACAACTTTTTAGGCAGGGCGTCTGTTGCTTTACTCCGTTCCTATCGATGCACAATCTATCCGCCTTATTGTTTGCATCCTGCAGTTAACACAACAGCTGATCGCTTTGCGAAAGTTGATGGAGAAGCCAGAGGAAACGACAGAGCCTTCTGGAAGTACGTCTCAACTTCCGATATCGACAGAAGCCGGAGTGACCGATCTGAAGGCCTCCGAAGATCTGTTGCAATTAGTCAAGTAAGTACAGCATGTTTCGAAAGGTCTTCTCAAAAGGCTTCAATCACCAAGGCCACAATTCGCTTCACACTCACATACCATACATAGCTGACTAGTCTCTTGATATCATTCCTTAGTGAACTTTAAGCACACGACTTGTTGTCCTTGTCCCTATTTGCAATTTAATTAGGCTTTAGGAAACCTCGAATACAAAATGGTCACCAAGATCCTCTTTGCGTGTGGCCTTCATGCTTATTTAGCTTTAACGGAAGACTCAATTGGATCTCATCTGAAGTTCTCTAGCTGAATGTGTCGCACAGAAACCATCTGATGTTTCAGTTGATACGCCATTCAAGGTACCTCGATGTATTTTCTCGAAAGAAACTACTCGCAAGGTTTTTGGGAACTTCGACATTCCACGACCGTATTTACCTTAGGGCTCATCAGGTAGGCACGGTCCCCGAGTTTCCGTCAGCATTATGTTCTACTTGAACCCAACTTTTGACGAAGCTCATTTGCACGTCAATTCGGTTTTAACCAGCGACTTAACTGAACGCCATCTGTAATCCTCGTTTATGATATTGTTCAAAAGTGTTCAGCTGTAGCACCCTTTCGGAGCCTAACTGCCATGCCATTCGAAGATTGCACGAGGGCTGGGATACTGCCAGGTTGTTCAAGCCTAGACAGGGGAGGTCGAGAGACAGAGGTCGGATTCGAACCACGAACCTTTCGGTCAGTAAATCCGCGCTGCACTGCATAATCGCTGCCTCATGTTTCAGGTGGTATGATATTCAAGATATTGCAATACAGTTTATGTTCAACTAGAACATGAGGTGAACAAAACCCCGGGGACTGCACCTAATTGATGAGCCTCAAGAAGGGCAAAAAAGGTCTTGGGTTTTTGAATAGTTCTCAGCAACCTTATGGATAGTGATCCTCGGTAAATGATTTCAGTGGGAAAAGCAAAGTGTGACACAAGAGCGCACTGTAGTTTTCGTCTTATTATCATATTCCTCTGATTCAATTTTTCATTTCCCCGTTTCTGCGCTTTTAGTACATATTGTTGAGTGAATCTCTCATGGCCTCCTTTTCTGTAAATCCTGTTCATAGTTATTTTAAATGCCAGTGTGGAGTGGGACTAGTGAAAAAATAAACCTCCACTGCTCAAGGGCTAACTGCCGTTCGAATTGATTCTGTAAACGAATGTTAGCACTGCCATGTAATCCGAGCGAAGTACGAGGACTGGGATACTGCCAGGTTGCCCATCCTTAGGCAGGAGCAGTCAAGATGCTGAGGTTTGGTTCAAACCACGTACCTTCTGATCCATAAGTTCGTCCCTTGACCACTGAGCGATTTCGGAACAAGGACTTACCCTATACTTAGTGTCACTTCACCTGCCTCGCTTCTAGTTGAACGGAAGGAGTACTCTCTCTAAAGTGTTCGGTACAAGTTCTACCTTAACTCGTAAAAAGTTCCAGGAATGTAATACCTCTGCTTCTTTTCAGCTACTTACGTCGACAAAAAAGCATTGCCGAGGCAACATGCGACGCATCCGCTGCGGAGGTATCTCGTCTACTTTTACGTGTAGCAAGCCTCGAGTCTCAGAAGGATCATTTACAAACGGAACTGGAAAATGAACGCCGAGCCAGTGAGCTGGCAGCAGAAACATCTCAACGCCATTCGGAGTTGATGGAGCGAGTGGAGCAGTTGAATTTAGTAACAGAATCAAACAGGCTACTCAGACACGAACGAGAGACACTCCAGGCCAATCTGAAGGCATCTGAAGGCCAGGTGAGTGAGCGACCCTCTGTTACTTTTATCTTCATCCCGTACCGTTTAAGACCAGACATGTTCTGAGGCGTTACTTATGCTGGTTCCGTTCATTTCCTATGACCAAATGCCGACAGACTGTTATACAGTCACCTGCATTTTCGTTCATTTCTGCAGTGCTTACTGTGTCAGACTCATTTCGAACTCAGCAAAGTCTTCCCTCGTCGACTTCCCATGAGGCGTATAATGCCATCCTGCTTCTAACTGTCCGTATGCATCCAGTTTTGGGCCGCTGTGGCCTTCATGTTATCAAAATGACTTGTATCTGATGGCTTCTTATTTGCCTCTCTTTCAATATACGGAATTCGTAGCCGCCATAACGTGCCCATACAATGCGTCTTCTGCCTCTCGTTGAAAGTGGAATTTCCAGCGATTGATCACTTATTTTTCTATCCTGAGACCCGTGAATTAAGTTCATACTTATTCGTGAACGTAGTTTGCACACAGACGTGATTACGCAGCCGAAGATGAGTTTTGACCTCACTTTAGGAATCTTTGCAATCCCTCTCTTCGTATCTGAATTGAATGACTTTCAACTGCAACGGAGTCGGCTCGCTCTCCCTTCTCGTCTCCTGTCGTGACTTATTTTCCTGTGAATTGAAAACCGCCATATAATACACCTTTCAGTCCTTCGGGTGGCTTACACGAACCGGTAAATTATTTTACAGGTACGCGACTTGGAGGCTCTCGTTGGTCCTCTGCGGTCGGAGAATAGTGAACTTATGGCCCAAGTGAATTCACTCGGCACAGAAAAACATTCACTGGAAGAAGAACGCGATCGTTGGAAGGAAAGATGCAATCGTCTGGTGGAGACCGCTCAGCGTATGGATCCGGAACAATACCGCATGGCATGGTAAATTTTGCACTCTAAATCTGTCACTCAGTTTCTTCGATAGAAGCTCCTCCAAGCAACGATCAGGTGCAGTACGTAGGGTTCCGATGGGCCTGTGTTCGTGAAACGCCACCACAGAAAATTCGGTTGGCTCTTACCGAGGGGATGGGTCAGGTTCATGAATCTTTGTTGTCACAGCTGCTCACGCGTGACGTTCCGCGGCGAGGTCCGGATCCACTTGGCCCCCGTTGCTGTTTATCAAACATTATACCTTACCTGACCGTGCATTGCTCTATCAAGATATTTATGTGTGTTCTTATATGGGCTGTTGATGTCGATTCGAATTCGGATTTGAAGCTGTGAATTCCCCAGAATTTCTTCGTTTGTTCTCTTAATGTTTTTTTAAGTGAAGGAACCGAAGATATTTATGTGTGTTCTTATATGGGCTGTTGATGTCGATTCGAATTCGGATTTGAAGCTGTGAATTCCCCAGAATTTCTTCGTTTGTTCTCTTAATGTTTTTTTAAGTAAACGAAGGAACCGTCCTTCCTACTGGCTACGAAGTACATTTATTTCTGTCTGGACATCTGGAACACCTTCATAAACTGCCATCGTGGAAGCTAACTGACAGCAGTTATTCACTAATGGATTAATACGTAATGAGCGCAGCATAGTATGCCAGTCTGTCCAAAGCAGCAAAAGATATTTTGGCTTGGTCTTGCATGCAGTTCACATTTTGTTGAGGTTTGTTAGCCTTATTGAGTTCTTAACATAAGTAAACTCCTTTGTTCCTGATAGCACGTTTTTTAATTTATAAGAAGAATGAGTTTGTATTCAATACTACATCGAGCACTACTACTGCTTTTCACCAATTCCTTAGCTGTCCCGGAAATCGATTTCTCCGTTCGTTTTCAGTTATGTGTTTACCGTTTATCTGGGGTTTTTGTGTCTCTTTAAAGCAACGAACGGGATGAGTTACAACGACAGCTGCGGCGAGCTGAGGAAGAAGTTCAGCAATATTCAGTAAAGCTAAATGAATCACGGACGGAACTCAATGAAGCCATGAAACGGCATGATGCCGAGTTGAATGAAGCACTTGCCAGCCGGCAAGCTACAGAAGAGGAATGTGCCCAACACCGGTTAGTTGCTGCTTTTTTCTCTCCTGATTTCTTCGGCACACATCCCAATGCAATTTTTTTAATTATTATGTTTCACACTTTCTGCAGTTCAACATGTGAGACGCTACGCAAGGAATTAGAGGGTAAGGAAACAACGGTCGTCAAGCTCCGTGAAATCGGAAGAAAGTATCGTCAGGAAGCGGAAACTTTGCGTCGTCAGTTGTTTGCTAACCAATCGGACGGTAAGTTCACACCGTTTCAGACAGTCAACGTTTGTTTCTGTTTCACCAGTTAGTAAATGGGAATCTTTGTATTGCGTAGCTTTCTTTGCAAAATTAGTTTTGGAATCGTAATTGACAATAAGTGTTTTGCGCGCGAGCCCATTTTAAGATGTCGTTCGATGCAAAATCGTTCTTTAACGGAAACGTGCTTGCAACCTGTCCTCCAGAAGGATCATTGGTTGCATCTGCTTCTAGCTGACGATGTTTGACCGATCCACTGCGCTAACGCAACGTAATCAAGACGTGCTCCTCCTAACCTGTTCGGCTCCACATTTTTGTCTACAGGTGCACAACTACAGTCACTGAATGAGGCTTTAACCGAGGCTAAAGCAGATGTGGTCACTCTGAGGTCGGATTTGGCCACGGTCCGGTCAGAACGTTCTCATTTGGCTTCAGTAATTACTGAGGTGATGCGCGTACTGAATACAGCTAAGGTACGTTTACTAACAACATTAGTGATCTTGTTCGTTTTGGAATCACTGTTATGGAGCATCGTTTTGATTAATATATTCAGCGTATTCATGCTCTGACTATTTCGCTCCTCTTTCAATTTAAAGGCGAACGAGCATCTTGGACAAAGCTTTGAAACTATCCACCTACCGACGGCAGATGGAGAATACGATAACGGACAACTGGTTGAGATAATACGCTTAATGTTTGACCATTTAGCAGCTGAAATTAGTCAACTGCGTCAACATGCTGAAATGCAGCGGGAGCGGTTGTTACGCATGCAGCTTGTTGAATCACAACTTACAAAGGCACAACGGGACTGTGCTGAACTTCGCGCACGATTATGCGAAATGCAGTCAGCCCCGACTTCAGTCTCCGTTCCTTCCGCCCAAAACACCCCCACCGTTATCGTACCTTCCTCAGCCTCACTAATAGTTAATGATCCCGAACCAACTGACCTATCTCAGACCTCTCAGTCTTTTCCTTTTCATTTGGCACCCTTCGGCACCCCAGTCAGCTGCCCCGACTCCACCGTTACCGGGGCGTCAGACTCTTTGTTTCCCGTAGCCGGACAAAATACACAGGCTCCCGCTGCTTCAGTTTCTACCTCAACTTCTCTGGGAGGTCAGTCAGTACCTGCCTGGATTTTGCGCGCATCAGCCACCGTACAGCCTGTACAACCTACCCCCGCTGTAACACCGCCAAACTCAGTAGTGGGGCCGAAACAGACCGCTGAAATCAGGCCAATCACAAGCAACGTGGCCACTGTGACACCCACACCAGCCATACAAATTGGTAGGTCAGACAAGCCATTTAGCATTTTGGAACGCATCCATCATTTTGGTTTCGTGAGCTGATGTTAGAAATTCCCAGGTTGACGCGATATGTTACACTGTTTCCTAGTTGAAATGAACAACAGCAAACTCCCCTGGGAGTGGACAAATTCGTTGTCCACTCCTAACTGATATCTACATTTTCCCCTTTTTAATAGTATCTGCCACCAGCTTTGTCAATGCATCACTGGTTATCGATCGACAATGATACCGAATAAATCTATACGTTTTCTTACTTCGTGCGCGGAAGTCATCGACAACAAGTGCTATTGGCATTCCATGGTCATCGTTTCCTTCTCATAGAATAAAAGCAGTGTCTTGTTTTCAAATAGGAAAACAAACCACTCAGAAATTTGTCTGCCTGGATCAAAACCTAGCGTTAGTTGGGTGAATGGGTCTACTGTGCGCGGTTGGTAGTAAGCCGGACCGTCGTCATTTCCGATAAGTCATCAAGGACAATGACCTGGACGACTATTGATCCATGAATTTCATACTACTAGAAATTTGCGCTAAGTACTGGGTATCGTCTTGTCTCTAGTCTGCCTAAACTTTAGTCCTCCTATGTGAACGCAACATTTCAGTTTAGTTCTCTATCTAAATAGGCACACCCCGTACTGCTTCAACGGAGATGACAAATTTTATCCGTTGTGGACACCACCACCCACGGCTCCATATATGTACTGGTGCTTATTGCAATATCTGGATGCTCAGGCAGGCTGATGGGTGCTAACAGGTCTCTTATATCCTCATTTTAAAGCGGGTTCACAGGTCCTATTATGCTGCAGAAATGCAAACACCAAACGAGTAATGCATATGAATAGGTGTGTACCTTGCATCCATGCCTGTGTGATTTCGTAAGCGCAACCGAATTCGATTACATTAAGGAAATGGTAAAAAGTAAGAAGTGCTTCCCTTTGACCCGTCGACCGAATTCGGTCGTTTTCGAAGTCGTTTTAGAGCGCTGTAGTACTACAGCACTCTTCATCGGGAACCCATACGGAGAGAAACATTCCCATCGTGGAGACAATTTTCGTGGCACAGAATTTCACTCTACTGTAAGCTTTCCTGGATGAAATAATCTCCCAAGGGGGGATACTCGTTATGGATACTCGAGTTGCCGACTCACTCCACAATAAGCGGCCCTACGATGCTAGTTGACCACTTCGTTAAGCGGTTGATGTCATAAGAAGTACCACTAAGCCACCCATAGCTCATCCTTGGGTACGTGCATAGCGCCATTTGCTGAAGCAGTTCATGGTCGAAGTGTAGATTGATGGAGACACTACTGTAACCCACTATTTTTGGTACTGCTAATAACTGACCCTGCAATTTTTGTTATACTAGTCTATGTATCGTGAAATCTTGTGTCATTTGGTAATTGTTGCTTGAGTTAAGTTGGGCGATACAACATTCCCTATTCCCTATGACTTAGGCCGTCGATGCCCACCATTACTATATCTGTCTTAATCACAGTTATGCTCCAATACTGGTCGAAGCAATGAACCAGCTGCGTAAAAAAAGTACGCTGGTTCCAGCTGTTTCACTTTCTGTTCCCGAAAATGGGAGGGCTTGCGTGATACAGCGAAGCACTCGATTTGATGGCATGATCATATAGTTTCGGAAACTGGACAGTTGCGCACTGAAGGCGGTGGCTTTGACATAATGGCGCCACTGAGAGCATCACTGAACCCGTATCACCGACTGTTGATTAGTTGCATCCCGCGGTTCCCACCCAATGGAGAGACAGTTTTGGACTCGATTGAGTCTCCTTCTTAGTGTTCTCATATTTCGTTGCCAGGTTCAGTTCCACCGAAATGTGATATATGCGCTGTTGTCAAAAATCGCGAAAATTCAGCTTAATTTGCTGGCATGCTCAGAGCAGTCTTCTGATGATTGTACGATCGGAACTTACCTCTAATAAAGTGATTACGATAACGTTACTGACCTGTTACGTCGGGAAATTGGGTAAACTTAGAAGCTTCGCCTACCTCACCAGGTCGACCGACTTTGTTGTTTCCTATGAGTGTTCACTTCGGGAACACCGTATTGTGCCATGTATACTGACTCAACGACGTTGTTGTGGATTATGTGTACTGCTATCTGTTGATAATGCTTAGCTTGTTTTAAATGTTCGTCCCTGGTGGACATCGGGCTTCAGTAACGCCTGCCTTGGCCCTCTTTACTTCTTAGTTCAAACAACTTCCGTTGCTGCCCCACCCGAGCCACTGTTAATCCCTTCTGTCCCTCTGGTTACGGCAGCTGTCGTTACCGCCTCGGATGTGGCTCCACTTTCTTCTACAACTGGACTTGTCAGTCCACTTGCCAACGACCAGCTGACCGTACGTCCGGACCAACCTGCCAGTAAGCCACCATCTGCACTCAGTCCCATACCATGTTCATTGTTTGTTTTGATCCAATTAACTGAACTTTCAATCATTTTACAGCTGCAGTCGTTCGTGCCGCGCAGTCTCGTCGCACCAACCTGGTTGGACCGGCGCCACCTTTGGGTGATCAGTCCGCAATAGCTAGCTCATCATTTAGTGGATTCTCTTGGGCAACCAGCACAACTCACGCCCCTGTATCATCTCCTTCATTGGCCAGCGTAACTGGAAAGAGGCGCCATGAGGATGCTTCTGCAGTAAGCGATAGCTTTATGGTTTCATCCAGCGAAGAAACAGTGACTTCTAACACACAGACTGACCCCAATCGCCTTACAGAGCCCGTTTCTTTTACGCCGTACGCCAGTGTTCCTGCAATATTTTCCGAGGCCAAACGCCTCCGACCAATGGCCGTCTTGGCTTCAACATCTCACCACTTACCACCAGCTGAACCCAGTGCTGTTGTGTTGGAGCGATCCGCCTTTGGCTACCCCACTTCACTTCAGCCCTTAGCACATGCCACAGCTTCACGCTTGGTTGCTGGGCAAGAAGGTTTGGCAGGTACGTTTGTTCTCGAGGGTTGATCATACTATCTTCTATTTGATTGTTTTGGTCTTCTTCAGTCACCCTTTTGCCCCCCCCCAGCCAAGTCTTGGACATTTTGTACTTTTTTCGCTGGCGGTTGCGTATTAACTAGGTTTTAGTGTTTTTTTGTCTGTTCCTTCACTTTTTGGTGACCACTTTACTCCACAGATCATGCGGTCCCTCCATCATTAGAGATTGGTTATGGATTGTTACTCCCGTCCTCATTTTACTCGTCCTAGGTGGATTAGTAAGATTTTGTTGATGTGCGTGCAACTCGGAAGAAACACGGGGACCGAGTTGCTGTCAGGCTGGCCATGTGTAGGCTGGGACAATCGGGAAGCCAAGACCGACATCGAACGACGGACTTTCCTCCAACAGTTTGGCTTCTCAACCGTTGAACTTTCTTGAACCCATTACTTTAGAGTAGCTGTGGTTGTTTTGAGCAGTAGGTCCAAGTGCCCAAAAGTTTTCCACAGCTGAATGATTATTATTATTCGTTATTCATTAACCGAAATGTGAGCTGCTGATGGGTTAGTTTCGGTTCATCTCACTTTCGAATCCTTTAATTCCAGATACATGGAGCACCTCCGCTCCATCTGCTGTTGCCACTCCTATCACAGCGCGGACACCATCCCCCGATCAGAGTTCAGTAACTGTTTTGTCATTACCGGCGGTGGCTGCATCACCTGATCTCAGAACCGTGGATGAAGATCAAGGGTTGATGTCGGGTGATTTCTACGGAACCGATGTTGCGTTGCTCAGTGATGCGCAGGTTAATGAGAAACATGTGTGTTTTCATTTTCAACGTCCTCCAGTTTCACTGTACATTATCCTTGAAAAAAAGCGCACATAGATGACTCGAAATTGGTCTATATGTGAAGGATAGTAGCACCCTTACGGTGACTTGAAGCAGTATCTTACCGGATACTTCCAACCTCTCTGTCCATCATAATCCTATCATACCGGACGACCTACAAAACAGTCAGGCTTGACGTTCCCCAAGTAGTAGAGCAACACTTAAAAGCATAGTCAACCACAAGCGCGAGGATTCTCATGGCCTGTGTGATATACTTGCAGTAGAGTGGTCGGAAATGCCGCCTCAAATCAGAGCTGTACTCTTTTTTATACCCCGGAACGTTGCAAATAAGACATTGTCTTCTGGCTTTAGTCGAGTCTATTCATGTTCTATATACCATATAATCCTCTTGAATTTTACATACTGGGTGTATACTGATTTTTGTTCTAACTATCCGACATCCGTTGTAGGTTCCTCTACTAGACTTCCAAAGGATAAAGTCACCGATAGGATTCCAGAGTTTATGTGATTTAGCAGAATGATGTTCACCAACTGATATAAAGGCATTCCGAAAGTTGTATCCGACATTGTCTCTGTATTGCTGTATTATTTCTCACCAACATTTGGACTTCACACGAAAACATTCTTTCATTTTTGTTATAGGAATCTGAAATCACTCAAGAACAAGAGGTGGTGGCTTTGCCCGGTTCAGGCTCGTTTCGTTCAGAGATCAGAGAGCAGGATACTACGGCAGGGATAGAAATTACTGAGTCCGAAGGAACCACTTCTGTGGACACTAGTCATGCTCCGACCCTGCAGGTTTCTCAAGAGGAATTCGAGCGGGTTCGTCCTGTGGAGGACAGTACAGATCTCACGTCGGATTCTCAGTGTTTAGCTGAACATTACTCCCATGAACAGCATGAAACGGAAGAGCAGTTTGATGAGAACGCTGGAGTAGAGCCGGAAGAAGAGGAGATAGACGAGGATTTCGAACACGAAATAGAAAGGCAATATGAAGAATATGATGAAGAGCAAATGAGTGAGGTCGTATCCGAAGGTGAGGTGGAGGAGGAAGCGGATGAAGTCGAGGATGAGGATCAGGATGAAGACTATGGTTACGGACAGGAGGAGCCGGTGGAGACATCTATGATGTCTACTACGGAGAGCAACGTAATAGAGCTCAGTAGTGAATCAGGTACTCCGTTTTTTGTCCTTCATCATAGAATGCCGTTCATTGCTTTTATACTTTTCTGAGGATGGAACAACAGCTCGGACAGTTTTTGTGTCTTGTGTCTGTCGACTATTGCTCGAGAGTGCCACCACACCGAAAATTTTAACTAATTAATCTTTGAAACGTGTATTTTAAGATGGGAACAAGTCATTATTTGCCCGTCTTATTTGGTCAGGTGTGAAAGCCATTGGCATGAATGAACCTTGAACGCCATGTACCACGCTTAAAATTATAGTAGGTGCGCAGAGAGCCAGAAATGGCGGGCAAACGTAAGTCACCGACTGTGACCTTAGGTTGGCGGACACACGATGGACTATCTGACGACAGGGTCCAGAGACAGGATTCTACGTGTGCAGAAATGTCTTGTAGGTGTGGAGTCCTGAAGTGACAAGACTTGCTGCGGTGCCATGATGCCAGACTGCGAACCTCGGGCAAGTGCCAAAAGATCAACACTAGCAAGCAAATTGTCAGAATGGGATTCCAAGAGTGATGCTACAATCCTCGGAATTCTCCCCTCAGTCAAGTTTATCTGAATTATGCTGGATGGAATGTGTATTCCGGTGGCGTTGATTCTGGTCAATCGGGCGACCACGTTCGTGCCAACACTTTCATGGACGTGAAATCGACGGTAAGCTGCCAAGCGAGCCTTCGATTGGTAACACTTGCCACATTCCTCACACATGAGCCCCACGGGTCTCTCCTGCGTACTGGTTAGAACTCGTGCGGAGGCTCAGGATGATCCATTTTGCACAGTTTCCAAAGTAACCAGCACATTGAAACCCAACGGGGTGGTTAACCCTCTCTGGAGTTGCTGAACTCTTAACTCATATAGGTTGACGTCCGGGCTACCCACGAGGAGGTGGCCCAATGCGCCGACTAAAGGCACACAGTTGTAGTCACTATTTTCACACGGTATGCATGTCGTTATTGACTTACGATAGGTTTGGCATTTGTCCTTCCAGTAGATATTATCTGCTCCTTGAGTTTCGTACGCTTTATACTTACACCCGGATTAATGTGTTATTTTGAACAATGTCTTAATTCTTCCATTTATCAACTGACCGATGGTTGTAGCGGTTATACTACGGTGATTGTTCGCTCAAGTATGTGTTGTAAATTTTCTAGATAACAACGCCTCTCGTGAGGATGGAAGCGAAGTGGGAGAGGAAGAAGAGGGGGAAGACGAAACTGTCACTTACTCCAGAGTGGACGAACCGGAGCAGTCGGAGGAGGAGGAAAAAGAACATCCGGATGTCAGTGATGTGGAGGACGATGAGGGATTAGATGAACTTGGAGAGAGGCCCGCTATTTCTGGTGTGGGGGACGACGTTGAGGACGATGTCGACCGTGTTTCACAAGAGGAAGGGGAAGAGGAGCATTCACCTGGGCCACAAGGGAAAACTCCCGAAGAAGCAGAGCATAGCCCACCAACCATGCACAGAACATCTGTAATTACCATTTCTGTCACCAGCCAAGCACCAGTGGTCACCAATGTGGCCCCAACTCCAAGCTCTTCAGTTTTATTTAGTTCAGCAACTTTTGGAGACAAACCTGGAGCAGGGCTGTTTGGAAGCTTTGATCCGAAAGCACCAATAACTGGCGGACTATTCGCTGGTTTTCGGCCGTCCGCCGCGATTGGCTTAACTACCGGTGATCAGATGCCTTCGTCAGGCCCCACCACATCATCCACTACAATGACCCCAGGACTGTTTCGGTCCTCTGTTCTCACTCAAGCAAGTGCAACACCTGTCCTGTCTGGTCTTTTCAAACCGTCCTTATTTGGCACATCCACAATTTCTGGTAAGTCCTATCTTAATTTGTCAAGCAGCTTGCCATCCCTTCCCGTTTTACTTTAGGCGTTATGAATGATCCTCTTTCATAGTCATAAATTACGCGACACTGCGTTCTGTTACCGAAAACGTCTCACCCAATACTAACATCGTTACTTCAGACCCTGCCGTCACCAAGAAATTGAACACTACCGTTCTTTGATGATCCCTGCACCTTCATGACCCGTTGAGCCATACTGGGCTGTGCCCATGCGACTAAAGGTGACTAAAGGTCTGAGGAACACAGTTTTCTAGTCATCCCTGTTGGGATTTGGAATATGTATGGTGACTTGTTCTTCGGAAAATGCAATGCCCTGGAGTTCCTCTCTGAGCACCGCTGCCTTGCTGTCAAACTTTTGATCAGAAGGGTTTTGTTGAACACCCTATTCGTCCTCTTGTCTCGGTTATGGCGCTTCCAAAATGGCCCAACCAGTGTAAAATAATGATTCCTACAACTGAAAATGCTGTCTTATCATATCAACGGTCGCGTATTGCTATCAATCAGGGATCGTCTTACTTGTTGCGTACGGCAAGACATAAGCGAAAAGAGCCCGCCGCTGTCCCTTCACTTCTTCCTCTTTCACATACGTCTTTCCCCTCCTCCTACGCCGTTAATAATACCCCCTTTTTAAGCTCATCCGTTACAACTGAGAACCACGTTTGCCATGTGTCGGTCTTGCAGGTCATCATCATCTTCGACAACATAACATCAATGTTTAACGCTAACGACTCAGTGCCTTACAGCCATGATTAATTTTTTAAGGCAAGGTGTAAAGAATAAAAGTGAATGGAGAAGAGATTTAGTGCTAATCTACCACAATCATTTCGAGGTTTCGACACCTCCGTGCACTAATTTAAACAATCTGGATAGAAACTAACAACAAGAACGCCACAGACATCGATCATCAGCTATATCTTGCAATGTCTTTGACGATGGCGCTGTCTCTATCCCGGAAGGCGATTCGCACCAACAGCACCCAGAACTTCCCTAGCCTCTTCCACATCCTTCTGCCAGGTGAAGGGTTCGTCACGCCTTTGCTTCTGCCACTGAACTGGGCACAGAAAACATTGCCCTCTTTGGCAAGCAGTGGTTTGGTATGCACAATTCATGGCCTTCCGTGGAAGTTCTCGTTACACAACCGAAAACTCGCTTTCTAATCGCCTCTTTACGGATTCGTCACAACCCACACGAGCTATGGATCTCAGACAACGGTTGTCGAACACCTGAAGACGTCTCATTTCCTCTGGTCGCACAGGCCAAGTCTCACAGCCATACAACAAAATAGCCCGTACTGTAGTCCCTGAGAGTGAGGGGTACATTGCTTTTACGCCATAGCTGTCTCAAATTAGCAAACGCTACCCGAGCCTTGCAGATTCGTGAATTGACCTCATCTTTCACACTACACTCGGAACCAATATGATTTCCAATATACTTGAAACGCTTCACAGCTTCGAGTGTTTCCCCTGAATTAAGTGGCGCGTTTAGTGACTGCATGTCCACGGGCATGACCGTACATTTTGTGAGGGCGAAGGATGACTTTGTTCAGTTGACCCAAAAACATCTGCGCCTTCTCTTCGAAGACGAGAACGAAATCGTCTGCATATTTCAGATCGACAAGGTTTTCATCAGAGGCTATTTGAACACCGGATTTTTGAAGACCCTCCGGCGTTCGTCTCAGTATCTCATCGTAGCCGATGGGCAAGCGTGTCAATCGAATTGAATGAGCCTTGGAGATCCAGGAATACTAAAGCTGTGGATCGTTTGTACGTATGCCGTTCTTCCAGCACCTGGTGATGTGTGAAGATTTGGTCAACGCAACCTCTACCAAGCCGGAACCCCGATTGCTACTCTGGAGCCAGTGTTTCACGAGCCACCATAGGGCGACGAAGCAATAGTGACACCATGAGTCTCGTTACAACCGGGATTAAGCTGATTCATAGTTGTTTTTGTGCAATTCATGGCCATACTTGGGCTGGGTTACTGCCATGGCGCCCATGCCTAGACAGAAAAGCGATTAGGATGTTCAACCAAAACCTCTCACTCGAAAGCCTGACGGTGAGACAGCGGTGTTTGGCAGAAAATGCAAGGGCCTTTCAATTTTTACAGGACAAGTCGCTACAAATGTTCCATTTTTCAGACCGGAGGGCTAGGAGACCGTGTTGGTATGGGACACTCTGCGAGTGTCGCACGGGCATCCCTCCCTCCACGTTTAGCACAATGGGTCACAGCGGCACACAAGCCGTCATACCGTAGTAATGTCAGGTCAAGGCGGGTCAGCGAACGCCGATAGGTTCAGTCCCTTCGGTGACACCGTTCTAGCCTGAATGTCCGATTTAGTGGCTGTTTTTTTCGGAAGCAAGCAAGAGGACAAGTTGCTCTTTATTATTATTAGGTGTGAGAAATACCTACTTGCCTTACAGGGCGTCCAGCTGTCACATTTTCGTTCAGCGATGAGCTGGGGAGATGGGATAGATAGCTATACATTGGAGGCGGTAGTTGATATAACTGACTCCTAGATGCAGGGATGTCAGTGGACTTTTCATTGGGGACACTGGGGCATTGAAGGCAATAGCTTGGATCCACGAACGCCGTTGAGGGCGCCACTGTGTCATATATGACAATATCTCTAATCATTGACGTGTCCCATTTCGGGGTACCCATCCAGGGAGACGGCCACAAGTGAGTTTGCTGGTAATGGCTTTCATACTCCACTGCTGAGTCAATGTTTGATCTCCCCTGGCTCGTTTCGGCCCTTCATGTGGTTGTGCCAAAAGAGCCCTTCGAAGAAGTTGGTCCACTGGCATTCAAAGCACGTAACGAAGACAGAGCAATCTACGGATAGTGATCAGTTCATTCATCGTGGGCGAGTTATCTTCTTTCGAAAACCACTTGACGTGCTGATCGGGTGTTCCCATGACTTGCTACTGCCCCGAAGACATCAATGGTCAAACACTGAGAATCTTTTGACCTCAGTGCGTAGCGTCAGGCTTTCCATCCGTATAATAATATGGAGCGCATGGCAGCATTGTATGCTCGACCCTTGACAGAGAAGCTAATATCACGCCTAGGCGACAGATGATGTAGATTCACGAAAGCTGATTTTTATATTTCTAATCCGGATGGAAGTAGTACCGTTTTTAGCTCGACCACCGAGACTGATACAGCCGCCCAGCTAAACAAATTTTTCTACTTCCTCAATCTGCTCCTGCGCAAATGCGAGGTTACGTTTTGAGTCCACCCAGTCTTACTGCAGATATGAAGCACATGCCAAATAGGCAGAATTATTCAGAATACCTAATACTATTTTCATTACGACAGCCTCAGGTCCAGTAAGAGCTCAAGCATATAGACCCCACAGACATTAGTGGTCGGTAGTGAGCCTGGACTTCCTGAATGTCCGCCGCATTTCGGGACTGGAACAAACGCTTGATCTTCAAAACTCTGGTGTTCAGGCAGACGATGTCGACCAAGTCTTCCAAGCGGAGAATTAGATACAGGTGTTTTTGAGTGACATTCGCTTCGCATCCACAAATCGCAAGAACACTCTGCTGAAGGTGTAGTCATTGAACTTGAAATTCAAAGAGGTACTTGGAGCGTTTTAGTTATCTTAAAGTTATTTTTGGTTATTTCTATGTAACTTTGTGATGCGTGAACCAAGATGAAGAACCTTGTAAAACGAACTTTGGTGGCCTCCTTCGTTCGTGTACTTTTTTATTTAGGTGCACCTTGCTGTTAGTCCGGTTTATAGTGACAAATGCTTGCTCGTTTCGGCACTGCGGTCTTCATATGAGTCTTTCTCCGAACCCTAGGGCCTTTATTATTTCCACCACTCATGAAAACGTCATTGATGGTGCCTTTCCTCGATTGCACCCATAAAATGTAGTTTTCCTACCGGTTGCGCACTATCACCTTTCCATCGGCATCCGCTTTACTTATCAGAGTCGTCACACGAACGAGTACAACTTCCGCTGGATTATCAACTGTCTAGTTCACTCTCAGCACACTTCCACAAGAGATTGTACAACGCGTGCGTCCTCTCACCATCCAATGTCCTCTTGTGTACACATTCTGTATGCATGAGAAGTTGTGTATACTTTCAGGTATTGCGTTCCATCTAAATGCAAAACATATTTTCATCTACCGGTGTCTCTGCTTTCTGTGGTTTCAGCTGAAAAACCAGCGACAAGCGAGGGAGTACAGGCTAAACCGAAAATCCAGCCGATTGTATGGGATGCCCCAGAATCACCTTCCACTGTTCAGCCGAGTGTGACTGAAACCTCTGTACCTCGAATTGGTGCGGCTCGTCGCAAGAAATGGGGAGGACCGTCTCATGTACGTCCTGGATCCTATCTCGGTGCATCCGGAGGCACTGGCGCATCTAAACCTGATCCATTTGGACCTTCTCGTGGAGGTTCTTCGGGTACATGTGGAACGCGTCCTGGTCCTCGGCGTGGTTGAATTTTCGCGTTGGGATTCTAACCCTGAGCATTTTGTTCGCATTTGTCACACTTTTTCATATGTATAGATGCTTGCGATATGAAGATAATCTATTGCTGCTGTTTTTTGCTAACATGTCAATGTCGCTTATACCGGGGTTGGTATACTCAATTCATTCCACATTCCGAACCAACAGATCCACTTGCCTCCATCCGTAACAAATTCGCGACGCACCTCCCATTAGTGCGCCTTCCTGAGACGAAATACCATTGGGCAGCTTGCTTAGACAGTCTATCTACGGAGCATGCAAACAGTGCCTATTTCCCTTGTGACAAGTTAAATTTGCGAGCACTCTATAGCGGCCAAAAACCGTTATTTATTTTTGGTCTATCCTGTCTATGGTGATTATTACAGGCACTTAAAATTCATTTTGAAAAATTACAATTCCTCTGGTATCGGATATTGAGCGCAGTAGGTTCATGTGGTTATCAAGAGATGCTTACCTAATCGTATCACCGCATTTTCAATCCACGGAGCAAACCCTAACCGACGAATTCTTGATATTTCACTGAGGTCAAGTAGACTGGCTTCCGGCTGGATGACCACATATAGCTCACGACAAACTAGGGGCTTTCATGGTTCCCAACCACTGGACGGAATAACGTGTACCACGCTGAAGTTCGTCGAATGGTATTCGGGAAAAATAACTCACCTCCGATAGCTGCACCAATCACACTGCGTAGGTTGCGCTGGCTTGGCCACGTGCTGTGTATGCCAGTCGACCGACTTCCTCGAAGGACTCTTTTCACACAACCACCTTTTCACCAAGGGTGGAAGAGAGGCAGAGGCGTTCAAACAATGACCTGGTAGCGAAATACAAAGACCATTACCAGCAAACTCAGCTGCGCTGATCATTGCCGTCTTCCCGGGTGGGGACCCCGGGCCATATCAATGGCTGGAGACATTGCCAGACATGGCCCAGTCGCGCCCTCAATGACACTCATGCATCCAAACTATTGCCTTCAATGCGTAGCTCCCTTCCCGATCCCCCCACTCAGCAGTCCACCTACAGCGCTATATCTACGCACTGATTTATCAGCTCCCGCCTCCAATGCGCAGCTACCTACCACCTTGAACGAAACTGCGGCAGCTACAACCACTGTACGACGAGTACGCAGTTATAACAGCTGACAATTGTGGGTGTTCTTACGCAATCAGATTTCAGTGCTTTGTTCCGGTACATTATATTGACCACCGCGAAAAAGGGCACACTTATCTGAGTTTCACAGGTAACTGAAATGGATTTCCACCCTTGGCCCGAAGAACGGCTACACGAAGATCTAAATAATTGTGTCATATTTCCTGTCAGCTTTTGTGACTACTTACTTTTTACCGTGACCTATGGAGTTATCATACTCGTGTTCTGTACTGTAAAACTCACCAGTTTTCTAACTCTGAAATACAGCTCTCACTTTCAAGTGCTTATCAGTCCCCTATTTTTGAGGGCTTACACGGTATTCGGGTTTCGAAAGTGACGGACATTTCTATTCCCTTGCCGTGACCATAGGATTGTTGCTAGTGACAAGCAGGTCTGGCTGCCACCTGTTTTTTGGGAGTGAGGAGCTCAATGAATATGCCTTTCTACACGCTAACCAAGTTTCCGTGGAGTTACAGCGCTAGCCAACAATAACCCTAATTCACCTACTGCTTTCCTTAAATTCATTTTGAGTATGCTTCCTGAAATGTTGGTGCAAAAAGATACGCGGCTCCATGCCATAGGCCATCCACTAACGTGTGTTGTCAGTTGTATCTTGTCTGACATTTGCCGAATGTGTTGTATAACAATTCCATCAATTCGAGCTGGTGTGTACCAGTCACCTGCGTCTGCACATGACAAGATTATTAGAAGGCAGGATGACTGATCAAAGAAGCTCTGAGGTAATTATATCTGGATTAATCATCAAGCTTACTCAAAGACGTCATTACTAAGCCAAAGGCTATGAAAGACATCTCAATTGCTATTTTTTCCATCTAATTTAATCAGTTATGTCAAACTATCCAATGGTGCAGAAATTATGAGAAAATGTTAATGTATTGTGAGGAGGCTTTTAGCGGTTCCGAGCTTCACCTACCGCATCAACTCAGTGGAATCTCAGACTGACCTGTCGGGAGTGTCGATAATCCTGATCGCTCGTACTCGCGGATAACAGGAGACAAGAAGAGAGGTTGGCTCTAAAGCTAACGGATTCGTAGGTGATAAACTACAACTACCCAATAAGGTAAGGCAAACTAAAAGCTGGGATGCGTGCTCCGGGTGATCTAGTGGTTCACGCCAAGGTTAGACTTATGTAGCTAATAGAGGTTAACCGAATTATGACCTTTAGAATGTCAATCACAACACAGGTATAGCGAAATAAATAGTTTCGTAATGGGCAAGTGTGGTGCAGCACGCTTTGCAGGCTGCTTGATTTCAACTGATTTGATATTTGGCTTTTCACTACCGCTTTAGGTTGTTAGATATCTGGCTTTATTTTGTTTATGTAACGATAGATGGTACTGATGTTGGTGGATGGGACACCGTGTTTTTGGAGTCGAGTCTGTTGCTTGTGTGGTAAGCTCAGTCATTGTGGGAAGATATTTATTTTGGTTAATGCACTCAAAAATTTCTAGCGGCTTTGTAAGATTGTGAAACCCAGGGCTGCAAGTGTTTTTATTCTTATAAATGTCCAGCAACAGCAATGGTCAGTGGAACGTGTCTCGCGAAAACGTTGGTACATATGAGGACCCTCTGACTATGAATACTGTGAAACTTTAGGGAAAGTTTTATATGAAACGTCATAGAGGTTGTTCGGTTGGAGCAAAATGTTCCTGCATACAAATCCCTGCAATCAGCTTACCACAAGCCATCGTATTTGGCGGCCTACTGTTCTACTCATTGCCTTTTTCAAGCTTTGAAGATCCACAAGGCACGAAATTCATGGGGACATTTCATCCCGTGGTAAGAGTAAGTCACAATAAATTATGCGCGAACGAATTGTGCAGTGCGTGCATGAGATCTTATTTGTCGCTTCGGTTTACGCCTCAGGAGGACATTCGACGTGTGAAAGCCTAGTCCTGCAACCTTGAACATTGTAGGCTCTACAACAATTGACCGCAGAAAATCAAATCTTCGAAAGCAGTCTTTAACTTCCGAATATACACTCGTTTGCAAACTAATTTAGCTTTTCGAGGGACTCACCTGGAACCCAGATGAGTCTCTCGTTTATGATGTTCTCAGACGGATTTTCAGCAACCTTATGAGTAGTACATTACAAAGATGTGCATGTACCGCGATTTCTCGAATATCGTAGCGACTGAAACATGAGGCGGCCTGGTGCAGCACATTCAGTTGTCTGGCTTGATCAACGGACCCTAAAATCTTTTATCGATGGGAAGGTGTGGAGAAAACTCAGTCTTTGGATTACCAGTTCGAATCGATCATATAAGCGGTACTTGCGTTGAGAAGTCATGAACGACTAATTAATTGGGTGATGTTCGCATCCCCCAAGATATTTACACTGCCACAAGCTCGACCTTAGTTTCTAAAGGGGCCTTATACGGATGGATGGAGGTTGTGATCAAAACGGCAATATTGGAGGCCATCTATGACACTTGCGGCTAAACAGATTAAACAGATTAAAAACCGAAAGAATTATGCTCCGATCACGACTGAACGAACGAACGCTTGAGTCCACCTCATCTCTCCATCAATAGTATTTAGTTGGGCCCACTCGTATTTTACCATTTACAGGTTTGGCCGTCGAAACCCTCTCATGGAACTGAGTCCCCTGGATCTTTGCAAGATTCACGCCCTGCAAACAAATTATCAACATGGGCTTTAACAAGACTTGACAGATTTTCTCATACCTCCAGGATTCGTTCGCAGCACTACTCAAGTTAATGTCGCTGTCATGCAGCCTTTTTTGGTGCGGGACGCTTTGCTGTGGATCATTTATTTGTGAGATACAGATACCATCCCGAGAAAAAACCACCCGGTTATCATCATTTTTGTCTTTCTTCAGGGATGAAGTGTATCATTCATTGCACTACATCTTTTCTCACTTTATTACAGTTTTCTGCAAAAGCCTTGCACATAATACATACGACAACTGCCAAATAAAATAAGCGTAAAACTGAAGTTGGTCAAAATCAGCATTTACTCAATGCTCAGGGACAGATTTTGTAATACCAATGAGAACGCTGGTATATTACTGATCTAGTAACACGATCCCTTTAAATCAGAAGGTTTCAAAAGAGGAACGTATCTTTTTCCTGCGTTCTGTAGTATTGGTCCCAATTTTCCACTGTCGTGCAGCAGTTGTATCTCCTTTGCTCCTCCGACGTGGGAGCCGTCAACGAACAGATGGGGCACCTGATGAAATTTTTCAACACGTTTGTCAGGAAATCATCTACGTGTATGCATTTGTAGACAAGGTGAATGTACACAGGTAAGTTTTTTCCACGATCACCATCGTCTTTGACGGCACAGTATCACTGCCCTGCAGTGATGCTTCGCTGTATACATATTTGTTTTCAGGGCAATGTTAACAATATCAAAGCATATGCCGGACAGTCTACACCTTAACAGCAAGTAATTTCGAAGTTTCTGGAAAAGTATGTGTTAAATACCGATGCTTGTGGCGCCACGATGATTTTAGTTTATTCTGTAGAAGTAATGAAAGAAGGAGAACAGGGACCGTTCTTGCCTATCCAAATGCTTCCAAGGTGCTCATGCCTAAAATCAATCGTTCAGCCATGAACAGCTGTTCACGAGATTCACACCATTCCGTCGTGAACTGAAGGGTTCCTTGAGTGATTTTCTCTATGCTACTTCTAGTTTGCCAGAAAAATGACGACTTCTGAAATTATAGTCGGGATTTCGTCCTGTAAGTGAGGTCATCTTTGGCTGATCTCTGGAGACTGTACACTCGCTTATCCTGACTGTAAGTAATTTGCATTACGTATTTCGCGAAACTTCCAGAAGAATGGGGAATTCTTTCCGCTGCATATGTAAAATTGAATGTCGGTGTGAATTCAGGATCCCTGCAATAAATTGCAGTTCTCCGACGACTGCTACAAACCCTTCGTTACTGGTAATCCTACGATTTTCCCTGGAACTTGTTTATACCGGCTCAGAATTTTAAGGCTTTACTAAAACATCACGGGTCGAATTAATTAAGGATTCGTTGGTCGGTGACACTTTAACGGCAACAGGCAAACCGATACGATATCAAAGGATGGAAATCACAGTGCACTTTTGAACAATTATTTCACTGGAACCGATAAACCTTTAGATCGTCATTTATAACTGATTAACCAAGGGAATGGCTGGTAACTTTGATACTCCTTCAGGGTTTGGTATTGTGGCTCAACTGTGGCTTAGCAACCTTAGGTGTTTATCATTCTTATAAAGTTTGGCATGGCGGATTATCCTGGAAAGTCTTGGTCAGGAGAAGACTTATGGATATACTAAGTAGAGTTTAGTAGTTCGTTTGCATACATCCAGTTGTTTGAAAGACTAGCCACCATACAAACACTCTTACTCATTCACCTAACTGACACAGTTTTGGCGCGCTATCATATTGATGTCTTCGTTAAATAAGATAACCAAACAAAAATCAGTGCTCTTGTCTCTGTATAAAATCTGATAACGTGCTCGCTTTTCCCGTTTACACTCGATTTAATAGCATTTTGCGTTACTGTCAGAGGAATGAAGAAGAAAATGAATGACTTGTGAGCATAAGTCACACAATCATTATAAGTAAGTTGACCAATGTAGAACTACATATAATCCTGAGGGTATTCCTTACTCGCTAGGATGATTTTCTCTGACCCGGTAGTTCGCAGAGCTTTGTAACAGTTCTTTTTTTGTTATTATCATTGTTTCCAACATTTGTTGATATCCTGTTAGCAGCTGACTCTGATGAAGTATATCAATGAGGAATTCGACTCAGTGATCCTGTTTGACCGTCGAGCTTCTCCAGGTGTTTGTCGTGCAGCGGGGAAACTTCTGGTATGTTTGTCCGTCGTGGTTGTCCTATGCAGCAAATAACCCTCCAGAGTGTGCTTTTCAGTGCCGTAGGCATGCATCATGGTGAAACACTGAGCAAAACCCCATTATATAATTTCCTAATGCACATCATTACAAAGTGCAAAAGTAGTGTACAAGCAGTTTTCTCGTATATCATCTCATGTTCACCTCACACGCTCTCTCGATGGAATAGGTTATAACTACGCACTTGAAAAGATTCACAATCCTCGTGCTTCATTGAAAACACTTATAAAGGGGGCGTTTCAGCCGATATCCTAAATATTTCTCAAGCGAGTTTGTAGTCAGACAGAAGGGATAATATTAAGTTGGGTCGAAGTTAGCAAATCAATTTAACTGTCGTATTCAGCTTCTGCGGTTTCAGACTACTGTTTCTTCGACGACGATGGTTACTGGCTCCATAGTTAAGAAACCTTATCCTACTTTAGTGTGCTCTACACACGCGCATCCATAAAGTCTAATACATCTACGAAACTAGATAAATATCATCAGTAACGAAATTCACTCTTTAAGTTCTGTTGTTCTACCGTCTCTAAAGTAGAGAAAATGGCTGAAACATTAGCTATTCCTCTACTGCTACCACAGTATTTCTGATTAAACAGATTAAAAACCGAAAGAATTATGCTCCGATCACGACTGAACGAACGAACGCTTGAGTCCACCTCATCTCTCCATCAATAGTATTTAGTTGGGCCCACTCGTATTTTACCATTTACAGGTTTGGCCTTCGAAACCCACTCATGGAACTGAGTCCCCTGGATCTTTGCAAGATTCACGCCCTACAAACAAATTATCAACATGGGCTTTAACAAGACTTGACAGATTTTCTCATACCTCCAGGATTCGTTCGCAGCACTACTCAAGTTAATGTCGCTGTCATGCAGCCTTTTTTGGTGCGGGACGCTTTGCTGTGGATCATTTATTTGTGAGATACAGATACCATCCCGAGAAAAAACCACCCGGTTATCATCATTTTTGTCTTTCCTCAGGGATGAAGTGTATCATTCATTGCACTACATCTTTTCTCACTTTATTACAGTTTTCTGCAAAAGCCTTGCACATAATACATACGACAACTGCCAAATAAAATAAGCGTAAAACTGAAGTTGGTCAAAATCAGCATTTACTCAATGCTCAGGGACAGATTTTGTAATACCAATGAGAACGCTGGTATATTACTGATCTAGTAACACGATCCCTTTAAATCAGAAGGTTTCAAAAGAGGAACGTATCTTTTTCCTGCGTTCTGTAGTATTGGTCCCAATTTTCCACTGTCGTGCAGCAGTTGTATCTCCTTTGCTCCTCCGACGTGGGAGCCGTCAACGAACAGATGGGGCACCTGATGAAATTTTTCAACACGTTTGTCAGGAAATCATCTACGTGTATGCATTTGTAGACAAGGTGAATGTACACAGGTAAGTTTTTTCCACGATCACCATCGTCTTTGACGGCACAGTATCACTGCCCTGCAGTGATGCTTCGCTGTATACATATTTGTTTTCAGGGCAATGTTAACAATATCAAAGCATATGCCGGACAGTCTACACCTTAACAGCAAGTAATTTCGAAGTTTCTGGAAAAGTATGTGTTAAATACCGATGCTTGTGGCGCCACGATGATTTTAGTTTATTCTGTAGAAGTAATGAAAGAAGGAGAACAGGGACCGTTCTTGCCTATCCAAATGCTTCCAAGGTGCTCATGCCTAAAATCAATCGTTCAGCCATGAACAGCTGTTCACGAGATTCACACCATTCCGTCGTGAACTGAAGGGTTCCTTGAGTGATTTTCTCTATGCTACTTCTAGTTTGCCAGAAAAATGACGACTTCTGAAATTATAGTCGGGATTTCGTCCTGTAAGTGAGGTCATCTTTGGCTGATCTCTGGAGACTGTACACTCGCTTATCCTGACTGTAAGTAATTTGCATTACGTATTTCGCGAAACTTCCAGAAGAATGGGGAATTCTTTCCGCTGCATATGTAAAATTGAATGTCGGTGTGAATTCAGGATCCCTGCAATAAATTGCAGTTCTCCGACGACTGCTACAAACCCTTCGTTACTGGTAATCCTACGATTTTCCCTGGAACTTGTTTATACCGGCTCAGAATTTTAAGGCTTTACTAAAACATCACGGGTCGAATTAATTAAGGATTCGTTGGTCGGTGACACTTTAACGGCAACAGGCAAACCGATACGATATCAAAGGATGGAAATCACAGTGCACTTTTGAACAATTATTTCACTGGAACCGATAAACCTTTAGATCGTCATTTATAACTGATTAACCAAGGGAATGGCTGGTAACTTTGATACTCCTTCAGGGTTTGGTATTGTGGCTCAACTGTGGCTTAGCAACCTTAGGTGTTTATCATTCTTATAAAGTTTGGCATGGCGGATTATCCTGGAAAGTCTTGGTCAGGAGAAGACTTATGGATATACTAAGTAGAGTTTAGTAGTTCGTTTGCATACATCCAGTTGTTTGAAAGACTAGCCACCATACAAACACTCTTACTCATTCACCTAACTGACACAGTTTTGGCGCGCTATCATATTGATGTCTTCGTTAAATAAGATAACCAAACAAAAATCAGTGCTCTTGTCTCTGTATAAAATCTGATAACGTGCTCGCTTTTCCCGTTTACACTCGATTTAATAGCATTTTGCGTTACTGTCAGAGGAATGAAGAAGAAAATGAATGACTTGTGAGCATAAGTCACACAATCATTATAAGTAAGTTGACCAATGTAGAACTACATATAATCCTGAGGGTATTCCTTACTCGCTAGGATGATTTTCTCTGACCCGGTAGTTCGCAGAGCTTTGTAACAGTTCTTTTTTTGTTATTATCATTGTTTCCAACATTTGTTGATATCCTGTTAGCAGCTGACTCTGATGAAGTATATCAATGAGGAATTCGACTCAGTGATCCTGTTTGACCGTCGAGCTTCTCCAGGTGTTTGTCGTGCAGCGGGGAAACTTCTGGTATGTTTGTCCGTCGTGGTTGTCCTATGCAGCAAATAACCCTCCAGAGTGTGCTTTTCAGTGCCGTAGGCATGCATCATGGTGAAACACTGAGCAAAACCCCATTATATAATTTCCTAATGCACATCATTACAAAGTGCAAAAGTAGTGTACAAGCAGTTTTCTCGTATATCATCTCATGTTCACCTCACACGCTCTCTCGATGGAATAGGTTATAACTACGCACTTGAAAAGATTCACAATCCTCGTGCTTCATTGAAAACACTTATAAAGGGGGCGTTTCAGCCGATATCCTAAATATTTCTCAAGCGAGTTTGTAGTCAGACAGAAGGGATAATATTAA